ACTTTGGACAATGGCTCCAACTTCTTTTATGCAAAGAGTTTTAAAAGCATTTTCTTTGAGTTAGTCAGACTTTTGTTAATGGTTGTACTAAGATTTCTGTCTCAGGTTGATTTCTGTGCTCATTSAGCTGAAAGTCAAAGTTTTTAAAACAAAGCAGGTGTAAGGCTGTGATCTAGGGCTGTGGTTTGTTTGTGCTTTTATCCAATGGCACATAAAGCTTGTGTAATCTGGTCGCTTTGCCTCCAGAAATGCAGAATAAATCCCTGCTTCAGGCTTCAGTTCTGAGTTCAGCTCTCAAASGAATCGTGCAGGAGGTTGTGTTCAAACATCAAAGTCCAGTCAGAGGCCTGTTCTCTGTGTGATTAACTGAACACTGAAACTAGTTGAAGATTTACCTGCTACAACCAAGCAAAGCCTCATGACAGAGGATCTGAGCTGAGTTGACTCAAACTCTGCTTTTGTCATTATTTCTGCATGCAGAGGCAGCAGAAAACATGAGAACTGATGGACAACAAACGTGATATTCTTCTCCTGATTACAGTCCTGGTTGTTGCCGTGTTCTGTAAAGGTGAGTGTTGAAGTATGAATTACAGTTTCAAGTTGTAACGACGCTACAGTCCATTGTGTGAGTGCTGAGTCAGCATTCACACTTTTCTTCTTGATTATTCGGTACACTCTGGTGATCAAACCACTGCAACTTACTTTGTGCTTTCTCACTATTCATGTCTCAAAACGTTCAGCTTGTGTGCAGTGAGTTTTGGTTTTACTTTTAATCACGTTCAACTTAAAGTCATTGTTTTCATCGCTTCAGGTCTTTGAAAATACATTTTGTTACTGATTAACCCATTTAATCCCAAATTTTCCCCTGCAAAATWACTGCATGCAATTCATYCCTTAGACCTCCCTAAGACATAGTATTTATGATTATTTTCATTTTTTTTGTTTGTATTAGTGAAAATGTAGGTTTTGTACTCAGCAACAATCGTTGCCAGTGGGATTAAACAGGTTARYTGAATTTTAGATACAACCTTACATTTTATACTTTGTGATAAGTTTTAGTCATCTACTACAAAAAGTGATGGGATCAACAAGTCTCTAGATCGGGGGTGCCCAAACATTTTCACTGAGAGGGCGAAAATTAAAACCAATCTGAGGGTCGCGGGCCAAATGCAATAATATAAGAAATGCAAATACCTCTTACATAAACTTGTTTTATTTTTATGATTAGGCTTGGAGCTAGTGTGGTTGCCTACATTTTTTTAGCCCATGGACATGGAGAAAAGTCAACATATGCAAAGTTAATTCAATGTAAGCAAAGGCTCATGAAACTATTCGTAATTTAAAAACTGGGTATATGGGGTCTTTTAAGGTGTGCAAATCTAGATATGGGCTTAAATCTAAATGTCTCTTGTAGTTACTTGAATTTTATATTCAATCTGAACATAATAACCAGGACAACTGCTGGTGGGCCAAATCAAATGGTTTGGTGGGCCAATTTTGGCCCGCAGGCCCCACTTTGGGCACCTCTGCTCTAGATACCACGTGTATCTCTGTAATGCTGCTGTAGAGCCATCTGTAGGGACGTGATCAGGGATCCTGTAAATATATTAGTTTGGTAAAATAGACGTTAGATTAGTCTCAGTGTCACAGACACAGGCTCTGAAGATGAAATGRAGTTTTAAGTTGTGAAATAAACAATTATCTGAGAACTGGACWGGATTTTCTGCATTTTATGGGTTTAAAGTTTTTGAACACTTTTTAAAATGATTCTTTTACTTATTTTTTTCTTTTTCTCCTTAACCTCTGACTTTTTTCCATTTTTTTGGAGAAAAAGAAAGAGAGATTAGAAGATGTGTGAAATATATATTGAGAGTCAATCATTTATGTGACGGTTCCGGTTATTTGATGATTTTATTGCTATTAATTTTGAATAATTGAGTTGGGCGCTAGTCAGGTCTCCCTCCTGACTTAGGATGTTTCTTTTTAACCAGCTTACTTGGTTTAGAGTTATTTTTAATT